TTTTTTTTTTTTTGTGCAGAAAAGTGAACGGCAAAGGAAATAAAGGGGAAAAAAAAAATCTCACTTCGGTATTGGGTAGTGTTTTTTGTTTAATTTTTCCTTTTATTTTTCCATGATATCTGTGGGTAGTAGAGATGGAAGGAAGAGAGTAGGCTTGGGATTAGAGATGGAAGAGACTGAGCTTGAAGAAGGAGAGGCTCTGAGCTGTAACAATGAAGCTCAAGATTCCACCATTGACCCTGATATTGCTCTCTCTTACATTGTAAGGATCTGATTTGTTTTCATCCTCACACTTTGTGCTGTGTAGATAGATCACTTATTTAGTTTGTGCAATTTGATGTTGATTCTCGAATTTTGTGTAGTTGAATCGATTCTGACCTTGTTTTTACTCTCCGTGACCCTGCGTAGTAAATCGCCGTTGGTTAGGTTGTGTAGTGTTAATTGATTAGCTAGGTTTAGTTGTTTTGATTCAGTTTATGGATTGCTTAAATAGGCAATGAATCATTAATGCTATTTCACTGCGATTAATTAGTTACCATTTGTTCGGACGGGTAGTTATGCGTGCTACAGGTCTGTATGATTTGGAACACTCACCCTTTAATTCACTCAATCCCGGTAACTAAACTCCGAGAGAACATTTAGCAATGACAAGATAGTTGTAATTTTTGCTCCTAATTGTAGAACACGACTCTCATGTTCCTCAATTTGTGTTACAACTTGAAGGGGGAGAAACTACAGAACGTATTGGGGCATTTCCAGAAAGATTTTGAAGGTGGTGTTTCAGCTGAGAATTTGGGTAAGTTTAGAAGGATGCTACCGATCGTGTAAAGTAAAGACTGAATAAAATGTGGTTTGATAATTTGCAAAGTGTTGATCGTAAAAAACATGAATACGTAACAGGAGCGAAATTTGGTGGCTACGGTTCCTTTTTGCCTACTTATCAGAGGTCGCCATCTTGGTCTCATACGAAAAGTCCAGCAGAAGCTCATCATAATCATGACCCACCAAGATCCCCAAAAAGGTTACAAGTCGAGGTAGATACTCATACATCCAAATCTATGTACTTATCGTTCGTGTGTGTGTTTTTAAACGAAAGAAACAAAGAAAGAAAGAGAAAGTAAAAAGAATTAGAATTTTGCGGGACATGAAATATTTCTTTTTGGCCTAATAGGAGCAAAGGCGAAACCCACATGCTTCATCAAGTGCTTCTCCGTTGGGAAGGCCCCGTGTTGCTTCAGGAAAAGCTGCATCAATTGGAAGTTCCACAAAAGATAATAACAGCCATTTACAATCTAGACCTGCTGAAGAATCCGGCTTAAGAAGTGGAAATGTTAAGAAGTCTGTAAATCCTTCTGATCAGAGAACCCTGAAGGTCCGGATTAAAGTTGGATCTGAAAATTTGCCGACCCAAAAAAATGCTGAAATATATAGTGGTCTCGGTCTTGTAGTGTCTCCATCATCCTCGTTGGATGACAGTCCTACAACAAGTGAAAGAGAATTTGGTAAACTCACGGAGGCACCAGAGGCATCACCCACCAGTATTCTACAGGTAATCCTTTTAATTTTTATCCTAAATTACTGATATGAGGTTTTGTTGGCTAATATGGACTTACACTATCTTTCCGAATTGATTTTGAACTTCTTACTGCTGGTGTCTTGGAGCAGATCATGACAACCTTTCCCGGTGAATCACTTTTGTCACCTCTTTCAGAAGATCTGACGTGTCTGACAGAAAAAAAGAAGCCTAGAGGGAAGTTCGAAACTAAAACAGTGGACAAGGCAGGCGTAGAAAGTTTTGGGATGTTGGAAAATGGGTCACATTTCAGTAAGTGCAATCAGAAAAAGGCGAAGTTGTCCGAGAAGTGTGATGTTTCCTCTGTGGAATTGACGAATCATAAAAAATATGGTAATATGGATCACGGTAAAGGTTCTTTTGTGAAGAAGGAAAAAGAAACAGAGATCGACACTTTGGGATGTGAGGATCTTGTTTCTAATGCTTTGAAACTTCCACTTCTATCGGATTCTCAGAATAACCTTTTTGAACCTGGCAAGGTAGAAACATTCTCTTCATTAGTGAAAGATAATTTGGATAATGAATCTTCCCAAGCTATTGATGGAGTTGAGAATTCGAGCGGAAAGCTGAGTGCATCGGGCAAAACTTCTGAATCTAAAAGAGGAATCCTTGTCAGTAACAATGCAGTTTGCCCTTCTGTTGACCAGTCCGAGTCAATCGTCTTTAAGGGAAGAGAAAGTGAGGAAGGTTTAAAACCAGCTGTTACGAAACCATCCACTGGGGGCAAGAAAAAACAAAAAGTGGCTTACAGTACTGGCGCTCAAGGGGCATCTTCGTCTAAAATTGATTCGCGTGATCTCCAAAAGGATCATAAAAAACCCAGGGACAGATATAAGGACTTTTTCGGGGACGTCGAATTTGAAGATGAGGATAATGAGTCGATTTCAGGCGAAATAAAATCCCCAGCATGGTTGAAAAATCCTCCAGTTGATGGGAAAAGAGGTTCAAGTGATGATCCCATGTCGAAAGAGAAAAATGACATAAATATTTCTCAAAAGCCGCCACCACAAGTCCCGGGGAACTGTCTCGGGCCTGCTTCTCAGTCGGCCCCTCCGAATGGAAATGGGCTGAGTTCCGAAGCTCCAGCTGGAAGTGTTCCTTTGGTGCAGGAGGATTGGGTCGAGTGCGATAAGTGTCAAAAGTGGAGACTCCTACCACTTGGAACAAACGTTTCGAGTCTTCCCGATAAATGGATTTGTCGGATGCTTACCTGGCTGTGAGTGTTGATCGCCTTCATATTCCTTCCTGTTTCACGATTAATTATTATTAGTATTAATTGCAGAGAAGGAAAACTAACGTTGTAGTTAAGCGTGATTATCTTTTAGAATTACAAACACCCCACCGAATATTTGTGTTTTGAAACGTAAATGGAATTTTTTATGATTAGACTAAAACCAGCCCCAAGGTGGTAAACTGGGTTCGGCAAACCTGAACTGATAATAATTTATTTTTCTACTATCAAACTTATCCTTGACTGATAATTTGTAGCCTGAAATATGGCTGAATCTGTGCGCAAAATTCTTTAATACGAGAATCTTACACCTTTTGCAACCCCACAGGCCTGGAATGAATAGATGCAGCATCCCTCAGGAGGAGACAACTAATGCTTTAAGAACCCTTTACAATCCCGCTGCTTTAATTCCGGGCCCTACTTCCGAGTCCCAACACAGTCAGCTTAATAATAACTCTGCTGTGAATTCTATGCAAATTGGAAAGGCAGATGCTAGGTATCCAGTTCAGGAGAACCAAAATCGTGTTTCTCAAACCATGATCCTCAACGGGAAGAAGAAACACGGAACAGTGAAGGCAGCAAGTTCAAACGATCTAGATGGTTCCACTTATTCTTCAAATTCACGCAAGAAGAGCCTTGGAACATCTAGTAAGACAAGTAAATTGAACAGCGGAAAGAATTCACCGGTCGAGAAGTACGGTGATCATAAGAAAGAAAAGCCATCACTTTCCAACTCCTCTGATAGAGGTATATATCATGAAGTAATCTGGACTTTCCTTATTTATATAACTGGAGCTAAACTCCTATGATATAACTTGTTTATTCTTTTAAGCTTCTTCAAGTCTATTTCCATGAACTTAAAGTTCGTTGCCAAATAACATCTGCAGGTACAAACTTAAAAATAAGGAGCAAGCGAGAGGCCGATATGGAAGGTTCTAGAGCTTCTAAGAGAATAAAAAATGAGGAATTGTCTCTCGAAGACGAGTATTGGACTTCTGACAATGGTGGTAGTTCCTTAAAAGCAGGTCGTATGTCTACCAGTTTATCGAATAATACATTAGGGAATGATAAGCGTAAATATAACAGCCAGACAGATTTAAGTGAAGCCAAAAAGGATATGGTTCCTGGCGTAATTGCAGATACACACGTTCCAGGTTCCTCAGTCAATGGTTTGCCCTTTCCAGAAAAATGTGATGAAAAGGATTCTATCAGAAAGCGGAAAGCAAAAGAACAAAATGACCAACGGAAAGAAAAGAAAGCTAGAGTTTCAAAGTCTGGGGGGAAAGACAGCAATGGAAGCAAAGCCACTGTAGAAACTGGGAGAAGAAGTTGGAGTCACAAAGACGATCGTGACGGGCAATTGTCAAAGAATGCCCAGGCAGCAGATTTTTTGAAAAGTGATATGGGTTCTGTAAATCCTACAGTTGCTGCTAATTCCAGCTCGTCTATGGTATCCGGCTCGCATAAGAACAAATCTATTGGCCAGGAAGTTAGAAGTTCCCCTGTTGAATCAGTGTCTTCATCTCCTTTAAGATATCCTAACACTGATAAAGTCGAGTCAAATAAAAATAAGGAGATGAAAAAAGATGGAGAGCTTTCTGGTGAAGATGAAAGAGGAGGAATGGTGAAAAATGATGAAATTCTCAATGTCAACAATCCTGTTACCGACGTGCATGCTGATACATATGCAAGCATAAAAAATTCTTCCGAGCAATACAAGGTCGAAGAAAAGGCGAGTTCACAGAAAAAAAAATATGGGAAGGGATTGTCTTCACATTTGAAAGACAAGGCTCGTGCTTCTGGATCGGACTTGGGTAAAATTCAAAATTCTTCGCATGAGTCTTTGCATCGGGAACATGTGTATGAAGAGAGACCTAAGAGTAGGAAAAATAAAAGCGATGATAAATCTGGGACTCCAAGTAAAGGTGAGAAGTTTATTGGAAAACATGAAATCGCGGGAGGAACTCTAAGTGAGAGCAGTAAAGGGCAAAATCAAAAGAAGTTTGTCCATGAGGAAAAGGATATCATCAAAAATCAGGATAAGAAGCATAATGTTCATCAGGAGCAAGCTCACGAGAAATTACCCAGGAAAAGCAACCAGGCAGAGGCCAATGGGAATGGGAAATCACACTCGCTTCCACCCTTAGCAAGAATTTCGACTGAGCCTCTTTCTGGAGCTCAGAAAGAAAATGGCGTGAAAAACTCGGCCCTAGATTTAGATAATGGTGAAGGGCAAAAGGCACCAAATCAGAGAATGAAAGCTGAGAATTCGAATGGCCAGCCCATGAGGCATTCTACTCCCAATTCTCATAAAGTTCGCGATATTGATGCTCCAAGTCCTCTTCGAAGGGATTCGTCCAGTCACGCAGCTAACAGTGCTTTAAAAGAGGCAAAGGACCTCAAACACTTGGCTGATCGTCTTAAGGTTTGTCCTCATTTTTGGTGATTGCTGTTTTTTCTTTTTTTCTTTTTTTTTTTTTTTTTTTTTTTTTT